GGTCTCAAGCCGTTCGAGCGTCTGCCAGCGACGCAGTGGGCCCAGCGCCCGATGGCTAGCCAGAATGAAACCTTGCCAGAGCAATGCGATTCTACGGCAGGCGGCCTCGCCCTCCCGACGTTCAACCACGAGGGCGCCATGGGCACCCAGATGAAGGAGAAGATCGAGAACGTCGGCCCCGTCGACATCGTCGATGATGACCCGCCAGTGCCTCAGGCAGCAGCGGCGCAGGCACCTACGCGGCAGCAGCAGCAGCGGCGCAGGCAGCAGCGGCGCAGGACGTCGTCAGCATCGGCCCCGCCAGTGTCGGCATTGCCCCGTGAGATCGGCACGCAGCAGCCGCATAAGGTCGGCCAGCAGGCGCCAGAAGTCCTCCAGGAGCCGCCGCCCGAGGTCGGCCAGAAGCCAGCGGGCGGCCAGAAGCGCAGCGCCGACAGCCAGGAGGAGCGCAAGAAGAAAAAGACGAAGCTGGTCGAGGAAGAAGCGGTGGGCAGCCCCGGTGGTCGCAGCATGTCGTTGAAGTTTTCGCACACGTACCAGAGCTTGTCGGATATGCCGCCCGCGGTGGGGATGGTGTTCAGACAGATCTTGGAGGCTCCTGAGAATTACCAGACGCCGACAGACACCAGGGAGGTTTTCACAGTCACGTACAAGGCGGAGCGCTACGACTGTTCCAGCTCATAGCGGCTGGAAAACAAACCAACGTTTTAACTGTACAATCGTTATATTGTTGCCAGTTGGTCGAGGGACGATGCGGATCAGTATTTTTTCACACGCATCGAGTCTGCAGTCGGCATTGTTTGATGCGGCCAGGCAAATTAAGGAAACCGTCCCTCCACGATCCCATGGCCCCAAATTGGTTCCCAGCGAAGTCCTCAAGCCACTGGCGCAACCAAGATTGCCAGGCGGCGGCCAAGCGCGCAGCCTGTGGCGCAACCAATGGGAGATCATCCAAGCCACGAAAAAAACATGTGGCGCAGCCGACCCTCAAGGCGCAACTCATGGCATAGCCTATGGCATAACCTGTGGGATAACCTATAGCACAACCTGCGATATAACCTATAGCCCAATAGCGCTACATCCCTATACCCTGAAAGCCGGGATAGGGGATGGCGCAGCCTCTGCATAGATGCGGCGCAGGGAAAAGGACGACGAGAACAAGGGATAGGAGATCTGGTGTCACGACGGGGCCGCGGCCGCCTGGGACACCGAAATTATGGGAGACCCTAGGCCCGTTTGATCTCGCACATGTCCTCGCAACCCTCGCACAGATCGCACAGATCGCGCAACCCTCGCACATGGCGGAGGGAGCGGAAGCCCCAACGTCGCGGCTGGCGCGCGCCCCGCACGGGAGCTGTTATACGCTCCCCGTGAAGCCCCGGCGCGCGGGAGGAGGGCGGTGAGGAGAAGGGGGGGAGGGCGGGAGGGAGGCCGCGCTCAGGGGGCCGCGCTCCGATCATGTATCGACCGCGTATTGGAGCCGCATGGGAGTTGTATTGGCGAAGGTGTTAGAAAGCCCCCGCGTGGGAGTTGTATTGGCGAAGGTGTTAGAATTGCCCCGAAAGGTGTTGAACTGGCCCTGGGAGGCATTCGGGACACCACGCGAGGTGTTGTACAGCCCGGGGAGGGGAGTGTTTTACGGTCCCCGGGGAGATGTTGTACGCTTTAGGGCCCGTTGGGGGGCTCCCCGAGAGCTCGATCCGCGGCGGATGTTCCCCCGTGGGGAATCGGAGCCAGATTCTCCACGGGAGATCACCCGCTGCGGACAGGGTCCGTCGGAGGGCCTCCGAGAGCTCCGTCCGCGGCGGATGTTCTCCATGGGAGAGCCTCCGCCGCGGACAGGGTCCGTTCGGGCCCGTGAGCGCCCCCCCCGGAGATTTCGTTTGCCATGGGCAACATCTAAATTTACTTACGCATAGGGAACGCAGAGGGGCAGTACATTCGACAATCGGAGATCTTGATGCGGCAGGTTATGATTTCGTTCCCGTCGGACATTCTGCAACGGCCCAGACTGAGCCCACTGGCCGCGCGCCTGTCTCTGTTCCGTCGTTGTCGCCGCTCATGGCTGCGGATTGGGCTGCCGAGGTGGCGGCTCTGCGCCAGCGCGTCTCCGCGTTGGAGGCGGAACTCGTCTTCGTGCCCGTAACGGTGCTTGCCGACAACGCGCCCCCGATGCATTTCGAACTCAGGTCGGGAGCTCCCTTTTCCAAAGTGATGAGACGCTGGTGCGTGGAGCACGGCGCTCCCGAAGCGGAGGTTCAGTTTCAGTGTCATGGAGCTGTGTTGCGCGCGGCGGACACTCCCAAACATCTTCCGCCAGGGGCGGTCCGCGACGGCGCCGTGACCGTTTACGTCACGGAGGCGGGCGCCGCCGTCCCTCCCGCGACGCAGCCATCGCCCGGGGCGACAGCGGTTGGTGACCGCGGGCGCGCTCAGACACTGGCGTTCCCAGGAGCTTCCGCCGAGACAAAATTCTTGGCGCAAGGCGGAACGGTATCAGAGAGGCAGGTGGAACACTCGCCGCCGCGTGTCGCGCCGCTGCAGGACATCAGGCTTGGCCTGCCTGAGCGTCCGTCTCCAACGCAGCCCCTGCCAGCCCAATTGCCACAGACAGGCTCTCACCTGTTCGGCTGTGCTGCTGCTGCCTCCAGAAGAGCGTCAGACGAGGACGCAGCAACCAGGGCTTACCCGCTCCGACTCAGCGAGTGGAACGAGGACGAGGTCGGCCTGCCCCGCAATCTCATCATCAAGCCGCGCGGCCACCAAGCCTTCGGCCAGCCCTTCGGCCAGCAGCGCCCAGCGGAGCCGCCGGCCATGTCAGTGGGCGCGGAGGATTCCGACGAGGAGGAGCTCCTGTCGGCGCCTCCTTCGTCGTGTCCGTCCCCGCGGGCGGCTCGCATGATGATGCAAGATTGGGTGGGCGCGGACCTGCGATGCGAGGAGGCGGCGCGACCTGCGCCTCGGCTTATTGCCGCGCCGCCAGGAGCAGCGCTCTGGCCTGACCGAGTCGCCGGCTGCTGCTCGACGGACCCAGCGGCGCCAGAGCATGCAGTTCCTGCGCGGAGTGGGGGGTCGCTGGGGGGTCCCGAGTGGAAGCGGCGCCGGATGGCGCAGGCGGACGCGCCGAACCCCTGCCTGTTGGCGATGTTCCCCATGCAGGACTGGTGCCAGGCGGGGCGGGTGCAGTCAGGGGGGCCAGGAGTTTTCGTTGAGGGGGTTTCGGTAGAACTGTCGCGGTCCTTGCGTCGAGATCGAAGCGCCGCGGTTTCGGCGTTTGCGGTTTCGATCCCCCTAAAACATCGGGGGGTATTCGGAAAGAGCCACGGCCGCGGCGTTCTCTGCCGCTGCCGCTGCAAATCAAAAATATATTCGACCGCCTCTTCAGGAAGCGCCGGGGTGCCCAGCGGCGTGGTTAGATGTCGGCGCCGCAGGCGGCAGTGGCAATGGCGCCGCCGGCTCGCTGGCGGTCTCGGCATCGTCGGTGGCAGCGCCGCGTGGGGGCGCGGCGACGTCGGGCGCGGAGACATCGCGCGGCGCTTTGGAGGCTGTGCCGCCAGTGGCTGCGACAGCGGCGGCGCCGGCGGCAGAGGCGGGGGCATCGCGCGGAGCAACGGCGGCAGCTCCGCTGGGGGCCATCCCAGCGCAGCGCGCTCCGCGGCGGCTGCGCCAGGTGAAGTGGGGCCGCTGCACCTTATGTGGATTCGCGCGTCGGCTGGTTGTTCCACAGCAGAGCCTCTACCGCGGGGAGCCCATGCTCGGTTGCTCGCGGTGGCCCGCTTGCAATGGCGGCCTGGAGCGCGTCCCTCCGCATCTACAGGGGCAGCTGCCGCGCAGGGTCATGTTCAGGATGCGCGTTGATTCGTAGCTCTCGCGCCCTGCCAGCGGCGGTGCCGCGGTGCCACTGTGCACTCGCGCTCAATTAGCTCATGGTCAGCGTAAATCGGCGTCGCACAAGGGGCGCGTATTGCGTTGCTCTCTCGCTCTCAGTCTCTCTCTCTCTGTGTCTCTCTCCCTCTCTCTCTCTCTGTCTCTCTCTTTCTCTGTGGGTTGCCTCGAGGGAGGCGGGGCGCTTCCGGGGTTGCCCCGAGTTACGCCCTGGCCCTCTTATATCCTTTCATTTACACATGTGGCACTGGCGCGTGATTTTGCGCGTGCCGCATTTATTTCCATATATATGGCCTGCCGCATTTATTGCATATGTTGCCCAGGGGCTCGCATGCGCCATCGACCCCGTCGTAAATGTCATCTGCGGCGTCGACCACTTATCAATGTCATCTCCGTCATCGCCGCCAGCGCGGCTAGCGGCTGGACGAGGAGGAGGGCGGAGGGGGAGAAGATCCAGGAGGAAGAGGTTGAGGAGGGGGCAGAGGAGGGGGACGGGGACGGGGGCGAGTGTCCCGGGCTCCTCGGGGCTCAGAGCCTCATATGTGCATGGGAGGCCCTATGCGTTCCGCGCGGTTCCAGGCAAGACGTGAAACCCGGGCTGTTTTTGCACAGCTGCGGCGTGGACAGAGTGCACAGCTGCGGCGTGAGCAGATGGCGGAAAAAAAAATCGCGCCCTCTGCCCCACGAGGCACCTAAGAGACTTCAGATGGCCCCAGCGAGAAGGGCCCAGCGAGAAGGGCTCCTCGGGGCCCAGCAATCCCGCCCGCCTGAGAGGGTTCTGACAAAGGCCTTCCTGGCCCAGGTTCCTGGATGGCCCAGAGAACGATCTCGAGGAGAAGGAGGATCAAGAGGAGGAGGCGGAGTAGGTCACGCACCCGAGGACATGAGCGAGGCTCAGAGAGGAAGGAGGTGGGAGAGGAGTAGTTCCAGCACTGGTGCGGCGTTAGTGATGCCCCTCACACCGATCGTGGCCACCGAGCGTGAAGCATCTCGCCCCCTCTCTCAAGCCGGTTTGGCTCAAGAGTGTTTATTATTTCAGGCCGCGCAGCGTGGCCGCTCGTGACTGTAGAGGTGCGGCAGCGCGCGCCTCGGCGTGCAGTCTGGCGGTCAAAACCATGGTGTCCCTGATGCCGGCCAGCCCTTCTATGAAGGGCGTTTCCGAGTTCTTTTTGGGGAAGTTGCCCACCGAGCAGAGGCAGCAACTCGACGCGGCGGTGGCATAGGCGACCTCGGAGGGCCGTTTCCTCCGCGTGGGCACCGCGTGCTCGGGCACCGACTCGCCCGTCGCTGTGTTCCGTGGCCTGGCGAAGGCAATGCCCAGGCTAAAGGTCGAGCACACGTTCTCATGCGAAAGCGACGTGAAGAAGAGACAATGGATTACGGACAATTTCCCCGACTTGCCGTACCTTTTCGGTGACATCCAGGAGTTGCCGACAGGCACAGCTTTCAACTACATCACCGGGAAAGCGGCGCAAGTTCCACCCGTGGACATTTTCATTGCAGGCTTTGTCTGCAAGTCGGTGTCCTTGGAGAACAATGAGAGAAAGAAGTACGCGAACTGCATCATAGAGGCGTGCGGTCTTACAGGCATCACGTTCCAAGGGATGATCCAGTACGTTCAGCAATTCCAGCCAGCTGTGGTAATATGTGAGAACGTGGAGGGCCTGGTCAAAAAAAACCGCGGGTTGGAGCCAGTAGTCAACCACGTCAAGGACAAATTTGCCTCCAGCGGCTACGCCTTCCATCACAAGGTGCTGGGCTCCAGGGACTTCCTGCTGCCCCACCGGCGCAAGCGGTGCTGGATGTGGGCCTTCCGCGGCCTGGCGCACGCGGGCGCCGCGGCGCTGGCGGGCGAGGCCGTGCTGGCCCTGCGCCAGAAGAGGCATTGGGAGATGAACGCCCTCTTCCGGAGTGTGAAGGCCAGCGACGTCGACATGCGGAGGCCGCTCAACGAGCGCGAGCGCTCCGTGGTGCAGAAGGTGCTTTCGAAGCTTTCGCCAAGAGAGCGCGGAGAGGAGGTCGTGGTGGACGTCGGCAAATCTTTGGAGAGGGCGGTTCATTGCGTAGGTGCAGCGCCACGCGTGGTTCCCAATTCTCGACCATACCGCGTAAAGAAGGACAAGCTCCTATCGCCTGAGCAGGTCCACGCGGTGCAGGGGATCTTCAAAGAGGACTTCCCTGCGCTGGCGCGCTGGGGAAAGGAGAAGAAAATACTCACGCGCGACCTCGCTGGCAATTCCTTCTCCACAACAGTGTGCATGGCGGTCGCCATCGCGGTACTTTGCCATGGCCCGTTGCTAGGGACAGACGCCTTGAAGCGCATTCAGGCGGTCACGGAGGAGCACCTCGAGGGGGCCGCCGCTCCAGCCACGCCGCCCGCGAGGGCCTCGCGCGCCCCCGTGGCGACGACGCCGCGGCGCGGCCCGCTGGCGAAGAGGTTGAGGGTGAATTCCAGTGACGTGGGGCGACAATGCGAATTCTAGCCGGGCGTTGTTTTATATCTTCTATCAGGCGCCTTGTGCCGGAGGAGGAGGCGGAAATGGATGTCCAGGGGCTGGGGCGGGGAGGTGGCGGGGCTTGGTCACGGGGCCTGGTCACGGGGCCTGGTCGCGGGGCTGGGGCGGGGAGGTGGCGCGAATATTGAGAAAACGGGTTCCTGGTCTTAGCTGGCCCTTCCAGGGCACCGCCCTGGAAGGGTACCGCTTCCTCATAGCGGTACCCTTCCAGGGCACCGCTATGAGGGTTAGGGTGCTGAGAATAGGGTTTCTCCGCCAGCGCCCTGCGTTTAGGCCAGCACCCTGCGTTTAGGGTGCTGACAATAGGGTTTCTTTGCCGCCGCCACCCTTGTCCAACCTCTGCGACTGCGAGCCGCGCCGTCGAGCTGGCCATCTCGACGCAGTCAGGATCGCAAGCGGTCGCTCAGACAGCGAATCGCTCGAGCCAACAAAGGCAACATGAGCCACGCAGGCCCGAAAAGGCCCGTTTATCCAACATTGGGACCATAGCCCGTCTTGTCTTGGAGTCCTCGTGGGGCCCGCCTGGAAGCCATTTGGGCAGTCTTGGGGCCCTGTTGGAGGCGTCTTGGGGCCCTGGGCGGGCGCCAAACTGGTGCAAGCAAACGTTGAGTTGTTCAATGATGTTTCAATTCTTGGTGCCGCGGCGGAGCGGGCCCCCCCCCCCTTATCCCTTGAGAGAGAGAGAGAGAGAGAGAGAGAGAGAGAGAGAGAGAGAGAGAGCGAGAGAGAAAAAGAGAGAGAGAGAGAGAGGCGAGAGAGAAAAAGACGTGTGCTTGCCCGACCGAGGTACGGAGGCGCGGGGCCGGCTGTTCGGCGGGTGCACGGAAGTGCTGGTGTTGCACCTCGGTGGCATCGTAGAGAACCGCACCGAATGGCGGCGCGAGGTGGAGGGCGCGCAAGGGGGCACGGTGCTGCGCGCGGTTTCCCCCGAGCGCGCGGGCGCCCAGGACGGCGCGGAGGACAAGGAGGCGGGAGGGCGACTGGGCCGCCTGCGCCCAGAGGGTAGACGGGATTTTGGGTTTCTTCATGCGGCATGGCTGGAAAATCGTCGGCCTCGTCCGCGGGCGGGGGTTCCCCCAAGCGGGCCCAAGTGGTTCCCCCAAGTGGGCTCCAAAATCGTCGCTCCCTCCTCCCATATCGCTACCTTCCAGGGGCAGGGCCGCGTGCTCGTCGGCCAGGGCATCGGCGCGGAAGAAGAGCAGGCGAAGTGGA